AAACTACTCTTACTGGAAAAACATAAATTAATAAAAATTGGGTGAACATAATCTTGATTAAGGTCACAAGATAATCTTATAATTTAACCATAATATCATATGTATCCCAACGCTAAATACAGCAATAGCGAATTCAAAGTGATATATTATTTAGAAAAACAATGTTATTCAATTATGGTCCCTGGCCAGTTATAAAGTAATTTATTTCAAAAATTTGATTTGAATTAATCACTGTATTTCATGAGCTAATTAATTTGATTGGGTCTATTGTAAAAACCACCTGAATAAATTTCATTTGCTTATTTTAAAGTCAAAAGATCTCTGAGCGCGCATCACACAACTTTCACTTACCGCTCTACTTTGAATAGAAATTATTTTCTGGCAATGTTGGTCCAATGCATAATTTTTGAAGTGCATTTTTACTGGAGCTAAAGCTTAAACCTTATAGCTAACAACTAATTAACACGATTAAAATGAGTCGATTAAATATCGAGGGCAGGAAATAAAAATCTCGTTACTGTTCTATCTGTTTTATTAAACCAAACTGGTCCAGTTTCTGAGCTATATTTACTCAGAGAGATTTGAAAGTACATCTGTACATTTAACCAATAAATGATTATGGAAGTACTTTCTCAGTGTTTCCCAAATGCGAGACCGAGACGAGTCTTGGTCTTGCAAATTCAGTCTTGGTCATGATCTTGGTCTTGTGCAAGAGTCTCGCAACAGACTTGCAGTTAGTTATTAGCTTATTGCTATAAAGACATTACTATATTTTTTTAGATAGGAGAAACCTAACTAAGCCCGAATGAAAAATTAGAGGAGTTAAATGCAAAAGTATATTGGTCGTACCAATTATTAACATACAGTAACTATGATTGTCACGTATAAGAAACTATTTTGCTTTAATTTTTTTTTAAATCGATTTTTTTTTACCTTTCTTGGTCTTGCAACAGTTAGGCGGTCTTGGTCTTGGAGTTTTTTATTTCCTATTATCGATAAGTCAAAAGTTATAACACTAATTATAAGTGAATAATGTTGTGATTTCACAGATAGAAAATACGTCAAATTATTCACTTTTTTTCTTCCTTTAACTATTTATCCGCACCTGTCATGTTATTGACAATCAGCAGATGTGTTGTGATGATAAAGGTTGACATTATTGGCATGAGGAAGGATAGTACCCAGCAGCACTTTCTTCATTTTCATTCAGCACTTTTGGTCATTATTTAATACCTTGATTTAGGTGAGGAGATCTCTCATCCAGCTCCTTTTTAGTCTCCTCCTGATGAGCATGTCACTCATGGCCATGTCAATAATTTAATTTTCTAAATTGTTACATGATGATCATTCGAAGTTAATCGATGATAGATATCTAATTATTTAAATATACTATCAGATCTAGAGAAATTAAATTACAGTAAATGTATTGAAGTTATAAAAATATGTTTTACTCGTCTATGAAGTATTTTTTTCTTTACTTCTTCTTTCACATAGGTACAATGAAATAATTTTTTTAACAACGTAATTAGCTTGATTCGGTGAATAACATAAACTTATCTTTCAAACTTAAAAATAATTTTTAAAATTTACATTTGGTTAGGAAATTTTATTTCATTTCCTAGGAAATATGCGGTTTCCATTAAACAATATGGGAACAAATTATTATTATTATTATTAACAAATTATTGTTTGTAATTCTTTTGTCACTTTCCATTAACTTCTACGACTTTCTATGTGGCATACTGTTTTTTTTTTATTATATTCTCAGCTTTTCAACGATAGATTATAAGCAAACCATCTGACTATTATTTCTGGAAATTCATTTTCGACCTAAAAAACATTGTTCCTTTCTTCTCCTACAATTCTTACCTAGTTTATATTTAGCGTTTTATTAATACTGGTAACAATGAAAGATAGTTTATTATTCAAAATTAAATAAATAAAAGTACTTTAGGAAAAGAAGTTTAGAAAATTCGACATGTAAGCTACATCAATTGAGAAAAAACCGATTTGTTATTAAAGGTCATTCAATTATACATTAATACATCGAGTTTAATCAAAATCGTTATAGCCGTTTTTGAGATAATTGTACAAACGTGGAAAATCGGTGATAAGCAGGGACACTTCTGGTTTCTAGGAAAAATTTGCTGTAAAATCCCAGCCATATGCTTATCTCAAATACGTATTGTCAATTTCTTACAACTTTTCGTTTTTTAGCTAGACTGTTCACGTACGCACAGACCATTTTGTGGGATTAAAGGGAAATCAAGACGTGTATTTCCGTTGAAAACTCGCAATAATTTCTCTTACTATATATCACATATATATGGTAGTGAAAATAAAAAAACATATCGTCGGCACCATGTAAAAGTAAGGAATGTGAAAAATCATATGTTTCTATTTTGCTCGTTTACCATATAACTCCAAGGCCCGCCTTGTAGCAAAATGTCAAATCTGAAAATGAGATCTGAATCGGTAATGTCAATTTTATGATTTTATAGCTATGTTAGATATGTACATTTGAAATAGCGCAGAGTAATCAAAAGTTTATGTTGGGTAGATTAACAGTAATTACATTACATTTGTCGATGACACGTTATGGTCGTGAATAAATTTAAAATCCAATAAAATGACTTCATTTTCGTCAATATATTATTCTGTTATACACAATATAGGGCATTATGATGTTGTAGCTCGGAAATGAAATATTAATTAAATAAAAATAATAATCTTATGAAATATCATAAAACCATTATATCTTGACGAAAATGAAGTACATTTTAAATTTAATTTCTAAACGAAATATATTTCTTTTTGACTTGGAAATATGCAAAAGAGACGGAAACGTTTATATGATTTGGTGAGTGAAAATTAAAAAAAATAAATAATTTTAATAAAAAAGCCTTCGTCAAAGGGAAAAAAATTAAATATTAGTAAACTCTTTGCAAAAATAATAAGAAATTTATGAGAAATAAAAATAGACTTTTGTAATTGGTTAAGTGTTTTTCTCAATCTTAAGAATTATGTTCTTTCATCAAACGGAAAAATAAACATATTATGTTCCTGCATTAAGCATGCTTATATTAATAGAAATTGTTATGATACATGATTATAGCTGTCCTTGGAAGTAATCAAGAAGACATTGAGAAACTCGCTCCAACACTGATAAGAGAGGCAGAGCAGGTCTTCATTTGCTTGTAGGCTGATCTACAAGTAGATGAAGACAAAACAAAATATATGATAATAAGTAATATCATCCCCGAGAGTAAAATATACAAATACCTCGGCTCCACAATAACCTCAATGAATGACCAACGGGCAGAAATAGACCAACGCAAATAAACTAGCGCAAACAGGGATTTCTTGAAATATTATAACAGGTATTGAAATCTCGAAAAATCTCGAACTAAGGGTGTACAATGCTATGATAAAGCCAGTTCTAATATATGGCTGTTAGATATGGACACTAACCAGCATCCTAGAAAAAAATGAGTTAAAAGACTTGAGAGAAAAATCCTCCGCACGATAACCTCTATCTTGGATGAGAATACTAATACATGACGACCAAAGACCAAAAGACGTACAGATAAATGAAAATAAATAGCCCAAGACAGGCAGAGATGGAACCGGCTTGTTATAAATTGCACTTAAATTATTTTTTTAACTGTTTTTAAAATCAATTTTTCGAGTTATGAAATGAAATGATTATATATATTTTTTTTATAAATGATTTATCATTTCATATGTTTATATCTATTATAAATTTACAATAATTATTGATGCGAGATGTATTCTTGTATAATATTTTTTTTAATATAAAATATATATCAAATAAAATGTATTAATTCTATTGGTGATGAACATGATCAATACTATTTTAAATATCCCTAATATCCTTCATTAGTTGTTTGGACCTATCATATCGTACTCATTTTACATAGAAATCACTTTTAATAAACAAATAATTAAAAATTATTTTATCATTATTTATTGTTTATAAATTATATAATTTATTCGTTAGTTTTAAATATGTGAAGAGATGAACTGAAAAAGAGAAACATAACAAACATCATGAGAAATATAGAAAATCAATATCGAAAGAAAGGTAAATTGAATTTAAAACAAAACGTCATTAACAAACAAGCTCTTGCAAAATATTTACGCTTAGCTCCGGAAACTCCCGAACCAAGTGTCTTCTTCCAACCCAACTCATCTCTCTCAACGTTGTCACTAATATTGAAAGCGAGGAGAGGAGGAGAAGGAGGAGGGAGAATCATGACAAGAAAATTATTAAAGGCGGTGTTCTCATAAGCTCGTGATGGATCGGATGAAGAGATTGACAGCTCACTGAACCTATCTATCCACCAGATATGTTATCAACAAAGTGAATCGTAGTATTATTGGTACAAATAAAACCCTATACTTTTATATTACAATTATGCTCCCATAATAGAGAAGCCGTGTCGACTATAGACTAACAACTTAAGTTGTTAACACTTAAGAGTGTGGTTTTAATAAAATAAAATAAGTAAATAAATAAAATAAAAATATTTACTCTAAATAACTTCACACATCTGTCTCATCATATACCCCTCGTTGAAGTTCATTTTTTACAAATTACTTTTTATCCGTGAATGGATTAACTTATTTTTCAATTCTATAATGTATACTCAATCTTTCATTTTTAAACGGACTACGATGAAGCTAAAAAATGGACAATGTGTTTAGTTTGATTATATGTCGGTGTGTAACATTTTTTTTTTTTTTATGGTTCAAATTATTTAGTGTTTTGAAAAAAAAAATAGAACTAAAAATACTGAAAAAACATAAAATTAGATGTTAGGTAATATCGATTTTTTTTATTTTATTTTAGTCAGAGGTAAGTTGATAATCATGTTTCGCTCATAAGATGGAGGAACAACGCTGAAACTGCCAAAATATGAAAAAAAAGATGTTTATCACGTTAGATTGTCAAAAAAGACGTGTTTAATCAAATCGAGTTCATAGTACCATACATAAAAATAGAATAAATAGGAGAATTTGAAAATCCTGCAAGGGCGTTTTTTTTTTATTTCTAAATGGTGTATATATTTTTAGATATATATTTTTTTTTGTTGCAAATTTTCAGAAAAAATATATTTTAAATCCTTTTTATGAGCGATTCTAGAAAAAAACTTAATCGTAGTGTAATTCGAGTAATTATTCTAATTGGACGAGTTGTATGTAGATATTATTTTTATTTTATTTTTCCTATTGCCGTCTACCTATAATTTTTTTTTTAATAACGATCGTTACGCTGTAGTCTTAAAGTTTCGATTATAATTGCTACCATCTGTAACGAAATAAATTTTGCTTAAAACTCTTATATGAGAATTTGGAAAACTTATTTTCATGGGAAAAGCTTGTAAAACTTTAAAAGGCCGTACTATGCCCTATCGGTAATATGAATAACTGATGTGGGTAATAAGTTTGTTACTCAAAAATCCTATATTTCCGATATTTTCCGTTCGAGGACCTACAAGAAAGGCGATACTTAGGTAGGTATAACATACGCAATCATTCTTTCGCAATTTTATTTTATTAATTTTTTATAATTTTACGGTTGTGCCTTTAAATCAAGGCCTTAGCAAGAGCGCCTGCTTTTTTGTATATTCGCCTATCCAATTAGCGTTGGCAAGTTCGCAAACTTTAAATTAAACTATGTTACGTCATGATTTTTTATATTAGAGATATATAAAAGATGTTTAGAACTCAACAAACAATATACCTCTGAGAGATATTTGACTAAGGTTATTTAATTTTATTGCCAATGTCCCATAAAAATTTTGTTCGTTGAACTTGTGATTGTATTTTGTGATAACCATTACCTAAAAAGTGTACTTATAATAAATTTTATTATAATTCTACTTTTCGATCTAGTTGTTTTATTTATTTACTTTCTATTCTGATCACTGCAAGAAATTCTCATTCCTACCAGAGGTCCCCATGACCGCCTCATCACAATCAACTTTGAGAAAAAATAGTGGAGCTCTATCTTGCATTGCCTATAGTTCTTTATGATCCCAGGAAGCCACATGAAAATTTGGAAGATGTTTGAATATGATTCATTTTTTTTTTGTAATCACCCTTATGATTCAATTAATTTAATTTTTATCAAACCATCAATGATAATGTTTAGGGCGTTTTGTATATTATTTTATAACAAATGGTAAATTGGTTGTCATGAGCAGCAGAGCTCCGTCATTTCTTTTTTTTCTTCTTATCTTTTAGTTCCGAAACGGATAGAAAACGCAATCCATACACTGACAACTTTTGATACAGTTCAAAGGAAATAATCTAACACAAAACTCTAATTGAAATATACGTTATATAATTTATTTAAAATGAATGCAAAAGAAAATATCTTATTAGTCCGTTTTATTTATTTATGTAACAAAAAAGTTTTATTTTCTCTCATTTTTAGATATAAAATTCAATTTCAACCAATTTAATAAATGCTGATGAATTTTATTTATTGTAGCGGTATCCTTAATTCAACAAATACAGAGGCATGGTCAACAAATATGGTTAAAGGTTCGTCGACGCTCATGGCAAACATTTGCCAAAGTGTTTGATAATCCGCATTGAGTGGCGGCCACACAACCAGGCCAATAAGGATTATTGAACACTCTGCAAACCTTTGCCACGAGGCTATATATATTTTTAACTATATTAACAATATATATTTTGAAGTAAAATGTTTAAGCAATATTTTTAAATAATGAGTTTAAACTTAACCTCTGCATTTCTCAACAATAGAAATATTCATTCCAGAGACTGCTCTGCTAATAGATTGCCGTAAGATGGTGGGAAATAAGTAATTCCTTAAATCATTTTACTTATTTACTCAACATAGTTGCTTAGCTATCGTTCCGAAGTCTCAACTTTATATGTTACAGAACTAAATCCTGTATATATAATATCCAAGTTTAGAGGAAAGCGAATATCACTATAATTTATAGCAATAGTATGTTTTAAACTTCTTTTTTTTTCAGTTAGGGCTTAAGAAGTTTGAATGCTGCAAGGTCTTGCAGAACATAAAATGTGGTAAATCGGATTATTTCAATTACAAGTTTTATGTTGATTATTGATGCTTAGAATGTGTGTATAGTCTATGTAAATTTGTCTTTATTCTAAGATTAGGTCTAGTTGTGCAACTATTTCTCTCCAAAAATAACAGTGAAATTCGTAATAATTTTTTTTTTTATTTCTTAATGACATTTACAACTGTATTACATAAATACATCAAGTAAATTTGGACATAATAGATATAATGACATGAATACACTTGCTGAAGTAACTACCCAATGGTAGCACTCTAACGTAATAAATTAAAATTAAATTATGAAATGCAATTTAATGGCTATTAGAACAACTCACTGTGTTAAAATTATGCAGTGTAAAAAAGTCTGCAACTTACCTGTAAAAAAAGAAAAAAAACAGTTAGTAATAATATTAAATAGAAACAATTATATTACATAAAAAACAGAAGACAATGTGAAATAATGATAGGTTTGTTTTCAACACTAATTCACAACATAAAATTATTTTGAAAATCTAATTAAATCTTTATTAAAATCTGATAAAATATACATAAAATCTTACGATGAACATTTCTGAACATTTTTTTTTTTTTGTCAGTGTTTCATTTAAAAAAAACATTAAAAAAATGGTGTGCTTTCCAAGACAAAATTTTTAAATGCTTTCTTTAAAGCTACAGGAATGTAGCAAAGAGCATTAACCTCTTCAACATGTCACACATTCCTCTAATTATTACTCAACTGTTTCTCATTCGATTAATGACGCTAATTGGGATGTAAGTGTGAATATTAAAAAAAAATATGTAAAATAAAGGTAAAAAATCGACAATTATTTTTCCTTAGATATCAACATGGCGCATTCATAAAATATTTACCACAAATCAAATGGAAATTCTAGCGGTGGAAAGGGGAACGCAAAGAGAATAACAAGAAGATGAAATATGAAAGAGCCTTAAATAATTTAGAATTGAAAATGGAAGGAGGGTGTAGCACACATGGGCGGCCGCATTAACATTCAGTGCTTAGCTCCTGATACTTGGATCATATTCTTGAGTACCAGAACTCTTACAGCAAATGGCGCATTAGCGTTAGGACCAATAAAATATAATGTTCCATGTTTCAGATAATGTTATTTTGATAGGAATGTGTAAGGGTGGATTATTCTCTATTTTATTTTGTGGCCGACGCAAGTAATAAATCTCAAATTGAAAACCTGCTGGATAAGCCGATAGAAAAATGTAGTTGCAGTACATAAGCATGTCAAACCTCAAATAAACCAACAAGTTTTTCAAGAAACTTATTCGGAAATTAAAAAAATAAGGGGTAAAGCTATATTACTGTCAAGTCGAGTTAATCGGTGCACCAAGATTACTTCTATCACAATGTTCGCGGAATACCGAAAGTAACCGAGCACATACGAAAGTATAAGGAACTGACAGTCCTGCAAAACTCAATAAACCTATTTAATCCAAACGTTGAGGTTATAATACACGCCTTTTTTCGAAATTATAAAACCTGTATGTTTCTGACTGAAGAAAATCATAACTCCTTGTATTTTTGTGGACTATTAAGCACGCTTAATTCGAATGAAAATAATTATAAAGCTAATAATTCAATTAAAATAATATTAATTAAAAAGCAAACGAATGAAGAGTTATAACAGTAGGTGCCATATATAATTGTTCACCAAAAAAAGTGAACAAATAAACTTATCAAAATCTTAGAAAAATAATAAAATACGTAAATTCTATGTATTTGTAAAGACTGGTCTGAAAAAGAAAACATGATTACTTTTTTCAATAATGTATAAATAAATATTGCTTATATTGTTGATTTAATTAAAATTTAAAATAGAAAAAGAAAAAAACAAAACATTTTATATAAAGTTGGTAATTGAATATTGTTTATTTAATTATTAATTTTTTGAAATGTACAAAGTAAATATGTTTTTTTTTTCTTATTTTATAGAAAGAAAAGTATAGCTACCAAAAAATAACTTTTGGCTTGATAAATTTGACGAGTAAAAGTTATACAAACGTAGAGAGGTGGTGTAAAAATGTGCAATTAATGATTTTGAAAATGGCCAAAAAGGCCGGAATGTTAGATAAAAAAGAAAAATGTATAAGTATATGATAATGTATTAATTAAAAATAAAGGATTGCTAAAAGAAATAAGGGTCTTATTAAGAACATAATCAATTGTAGATTAAATATAGAAAACACATGTTTTCAACTCATTATTATTAGATTATTTTCGTTTCTAAAATCTGATATATCGTTTATATAATCTGATATATTGTTACAAAGAGCCGTATGTAACAATTTTAAATGTTGATTGTCTTTGTGCTAAAGGTGACATTTTGTATTCTGCAACAAGTAGTCTGCTAAATAGGAAAATAGCAGAGGGAAATACAATTTAAAATTATACTAATAAATCATAAAGAATTATTATTTTTATTCTCTTCTATGAAAAAACTCAATTTTTACATAAAACCTTTTGAACTAACAATAGCGATATGTAAATTCAATCGTTTAGGTTGAATGAATCAAAAACATACGAATGAATCGAATGACGAAGGCTCTGAAGTATCGTGTACTAATATTCTAGGGGATGTATTATTTTTGATGATTTGAAAAACCTAATTTGGATGTAATTTGGATTCTATAGGAACCGGCTTAGAATCTCACTATCTACATGTATAATTTCTCAGAGATGTTTCTGGATCGGTATGGAGTATCATCATTTATTCACTATCAAATACAATGGCAGAGCCTTCATTTTGAAGAATGTCTCTTTCACAACAGAAAAAAACAAGCACATCCCTCAAAAAAGTTAGGGAAAAACAGAGAAGAATATATATATAAAGAGAGAGAGGGCTTATAGATATATAAAGCTACCTATCCATTCAATTTATAGTATTTACAATCTAAAGACATGAAATAATAGACAGTATATATATGTATATTATGCAAGCCAATATATACACATTTATGTTGTCTTATATACAAATTAAGAGTCGTATAAGAATATCGAAATTGCGAAAAGTAAGTTTTTCTGTATAGTTTCGGAGTTTAATGATTAAGTTATAATTGCTCTAGCCTTTGAATGGTTGAAGATAAGATAGTAAAGTAATATATATTCTTAAAGAAAATTTAATATTAATCTACTTCCTTCCAAGTGACTTTTTCGTAAAATGAAAAGATAAAGAGTTGGCGAGTCAAATAAAAATGAAAAAGCGAAGCAAACAATTTTTTCGAAATTAGTCAATCACGAGGAAGGATATCACGGAAACTATTGAATATGGCGAAACAATATTATAAGCATTTCTATTAAAAAATTTGTCACCTTAAATTTCACACATGACATCATTATAATTGAAGGCATAGTTTCATAGATATAAGCGAAAAACCGAAAAAAGTAAAAGAGTTGGTAACTATATATGTATAAGCCCTCTCTATATAAACGCTTACAACCTATGTAGGGTCTCTATCCATCTTGCCCGTTATTATGTATTCCAGCTGCTATATGCTAGCAGAAGTGTATTTTTCTTATCAGGCCTGTGGATATTATCAATTTGTAAGGAAAAAGCTTAGTATGAAATATGTCATCTTTTTTGCCACGCGTCCCAGGACTAAGACACACCTAGACGACATGAGAATCTACTTTTTTTTCTGATAAAAGTAAATACGTAAACATCTCTAAAGCACCTTGAATGCGAAATCCGAGGAACAACTAAAACATGTAAACAACAGAGAAAAAGTAAGCCTTGACATTAAGCAGAAAAGAAGGAACAGACGTAGTATCTTCCATTTTTCAATTTAATCTTATATCTGTGGCAGTTATCATACTAATATATGATAATATTATCAAAAACTGAAGGAATATTTGAGAAATGCAGTATTTAAATTTGAAAGATAAAAATGACTTAATTACTAACTTCTGGCCGTGAAACCAAACTAAGAACGTGCAAATCAATTTTGGATAAACGGAATTTTCATTACTATTGTCATATAATGAATAATACCGTTTTGGCAATGATATAATTCGTTATATAATTATTATTAAAGCATGTGCGCTTCTTAAAAAAACAAAATATACTTGTTAAAACTATAATAATAACACCAATTAAAGTGTTTTACTTAGCTTTTTGCATTAATAAACGATTATAAGTCTAGATAAAAAAAAAAAAAAAAGCTATTCGCACATTCCGATTGAGTACCATTTTGCAATCTAAGTAGGCTTGCAAGTTTAATTTATTTAAACAAAGTAAGTATATCTCAGTTGTAAATATAAAAGAAAGTTGTAAATTAGTTTAATTAAAATAAAGGTTAATTTAATAGAATAAAATAAAAATATTAGTTTTAAGCAGGTAGGAACCAAGAGACATTTATTATGGAGGGGTAGAGATAGAAGGGGCAAAACTATTAGGATGGCCATATAATTTGGGAGACGGATTACCATGTAATAATCGTGAAAAGATGATTGATAACAGTAATATTGGTATGCTTTGGGTAACTTGTTCATCTTTATTTGAAGTCCTAGTTTCATTAGATAATTTATATCACACAATTTGATTTAAACAAAAAAACTGTAAGAACTATTTTTTCGACAACGGTTGTACAAGAATTGACCGAGATCACGCTCATCCGCCAGCTTTTTCTCCCCTTGCCCATTATTAAGAGTGATTTGTAGAGATATGGTGTGCCCCACGGGGTTTTCCGACTTCGGGGTTCAACTACAGGTGATGTTCCAAAGCCGGATCAGAACCTACGATCTGGACTACAGAACCACCGTACTTTATTAGCGACCCAGCTCACTAGATTAAAAGTAATTTTGGGGAAGGATCACGATAATAAAGAATTCATCAAAATATATGTATCTACAAGCCCTCATAGATATATAAGGTATTTTACTTTACCATTCTGTCATCGGAAAGCGGAAGAGATAAAAGGGACACACATAACTTGAATCTCATTAATATATTATTTTGCCCTTCACGACTGCCGAAAATACTCTGTTCTTATATTCTTCTTCTTTTAAAAGCGATCATTTAATTTTACCGAATTGCCGACCTGCAATAGGTATATATATATACATGTATATATATATGTAGCTACTGTTAGTGCAAAAGGTCCTATGTAACCATTATATTTGTTTATGCTCTAGGTCCTAAAGGTTGCATTTTGTTGTTTACAACTGTTTTAAGTAGTCTGTTAAATACGAAAGTAGTAGAGGGAAATAAAATATGAAATTATACTAATAAATCATAAAGAAACATTACGTTTTGCATACGACATTATACGCTAACAGTAGCAATATCTTCTGAATAATTCTGTTTTCAGATTTTAGTACCATTTTCCACATACTTATGTTATTATAA